TATATATATATATATATATATATATATATATACACACAAAAATAATAAAATGACAACAAATGTAATAATTATACTGAAATTAAAATTAAAAATTAAAATATAAAAATAACAGTTAATTCAAAATATGAATGAAAAGATATAATAGTACATACATACATACATACATAAATAAAAAAGAAACCGCCTAGCAACCATTCAGAACACATAGCGATCACTCAGAGAATCTTAGCAACTGCAAAACTCACATGCACAATCTTCCAATTTTTCTGAATTCATATGACAGATTTGTGTGAGAAACAGACTGAAATTGTAGCCATTATTCACTGAAAATCTGCTGTAGCATCATGACAGAGAATCTTCACTATTCCTTTATAATCATAATAAAAATGTTATTAATGGATTAATTGATTCATTAACAGATTAATGGATCGGTTTTATGAGTTTCAGCACTGATTTCCTAATTGCCCATTAAAATCCTAATGAACTCATTAGCTAAACTAGCTCACACTTGATTTAACACTGAAACCGTCCATTTTCTCCTGTACCCTAAATCATTTTGAGACCAATGACGTCTTGTTTTCTCAGTGGAGCTAATGGAGAGCCGCGTCTCGTGTGTGTCTCACGGTGACCTGTGTCTGAGTTTGCGGTGTATCACAGAGACAGACGGGTTCAGAGGTGCTGCTTTCAGGATCAGGTTGACCTGTTTCAGGAGCGGGGACACATCCGGGCCACGGAGACTCGCCTTTAGTTACAGACATCCGCACGCAGCATCAGCTGTAATTAACACACGGCTGGAGCAACGTGCACTTTTAAAAACAAAACGGATGAAAGTAAATCAAGATTTTCACATTTTCTTGAGCAAATGCAAGGGTTCTACATGCAAAACATGTCAGGAGTTTGTTCAGATCACTGCACTAAAAGTGAGCGAACGTAATAGATGTGTCTGCATGTTTATAGGAAACTTAGTATCTGCTTTAAATGCCTCAGTCACAAGCCAAACCAGACGTCCAACCACTGTTTTTAGAAAAAGCAAGGAGTTAAATGAAGTTCAAAATCCTACACACAAAAGCTCTGTGAACAGTCAAACGTACAGCTCTCTCAGACAAACGCAAACTACATCAAGCTAATCAGACATGAACATTATTAAAAAAGCAGTTCAGTTAAGTCAAATAAAGATAGGTTTTTAATATAGCAGTTTAAAAGCACCCTAAATAATATGCATTAAGTGCCCATGGACACTTTATAGGTACAAATGTATTTAAATGCATGTAGTAAGTAAATTGCATACTAAAGTAAAGCATCACCATTTTTGCCTTTACTAGTTGATAATGAAATGAAAAATCATTTCTAAAAGTACAAATATTCCATGTTGTTGCTTAGTTAATATGCACTCATAAATCAGTTTCATAAAGCAGACATTCTAAATTCCCAAATATAAAAATCAATACTATACATAAAAATTAAATTATATTTATATTATGAATATATTATAAATTATATATATGTTTGGCCTAAATAAATCATATGCCTCAAATAAACATGAAAATAATGCCTGTTAACCAATCACAAGCTTCATATTTACTTAGAAAATACTATTAATACGACATTCAACATTCAACTGCCCAAATATAAAAATCAATAATGTATATTAAAAATAAACTGTATAGGCTCAGATAAGCATAAATAGCCATCCTCAATTTAAACTGATTAAATAAATCATATGCCTCATAAAAAACAAAAATATTTACACTAAAGAAAATGCTGTTAATCGATCACAGTCTTCATATTTACAAATGCTGATTAGCAAAATGTTATTTCAAAAATAGTTTTAAATGGCATTTAACGTCACACCACAGGACTTGTCAGCTTCCAAAGAGTATTTAATGGGAACTACCTAAATACAAAGATCAATAAAGTACATAAAATAACTTATATAGTCTCAAATTAGCACAAAACAAATATTTATCCTCAATTTAAACTGATTAAAAACCCTATTTTCCGAGCGCAAGCTTCATATTTACAATTAGAAAAATGCTATTTAAAATAGTTACTTCTCAAAAGTATTTCATGTCAGCTATCCAAATATAGAAATCAATTATGTCTATAGTCTATAGTCTCAAATAAACATAAAACAAATATTTACTGGGAAAAAATCCTTTTAAACAAATCACAAGCTTCATGTACAAATGAAGCTTGTCAACTTCCCAAACATAAAAATCAATCATTTACATAAACATACATTTTATAGTCTCTTCTTATTTGAATAATATGCCTTAAATAAACATAAAACAAATAATCACACTTAAAAAAAATCCTTTTAACCAATGATATACTTCATATTTACAAATGATAATTAGCAAAATGCTATTTAAAATAGTTTTTACCATGTTACACAGCAGGATATGAAAACAACCCAAATCTAAAAATCAATAATGTACATAAAAGTAAAGTCTCAAATTAACATAAAACAAATATTTTTCTTCAATTTAAACTGATTAAATAAATAATATGCCTCAACCAATATTTGCACTAAAATAATCTGATAATCTGAAACATTGATGTATTGTTTGTTAGGATAGGACAATATTTGGCTGAGATACAACTATTTGAATTTTTTGCGAAAAAATCAAAATATTGAGAAAATCATCTTTAAAGTTGTTCAAATGAAGTTCTTAGCAATGCATATTACTAATCAAAAATTAAGTTTTAATATATTTACGGTAGGAAATGTACAGAATATCTTCATGGAACATGATCTTTACTTAATATCCTAATGATTTTTGGCATAAAAGAAAAATCAATAATTGTGACCCATACAATGTATTGTTGGCTATTACTACAAATATACCCCAGCGACTTAACACTGCTTTTGTGCTCCAGGGTCACATATTTGCTTATTAGCAGAATGTTATTTAAAATAGTTTTAGATGGCATGTCACACCGCAGGACGTCAGTTTCCTAAAAGTACTTCACGTAAAAATCAATAACGAATAATGCACTTAAAAAATTAATTCTATAGTCTCAAATAAACCACAATCCACAATTTAAACCCTATTAACCAATCACAAGCTTCATATTTACGAGCTCCAATTAACAAAATGGCATTTGAAACAGTTTTAGACAATGTCTAAATGACGTCAGAATGATGTGAAGTTAGCGTGATAAAAGTCTGATTAAAAACCAATCATAAGCTTCACATTCACAAATGCTACATGCAGGTGAACAGGAACGGTCTACTCACACGAGGAAGTGATACAGGAAGCACCTCAGGCCGGCGGGTCTCTCTAGGAAGTTGTACAAATCGCCCTGCATGCTAGTCTTGGCGTGGTAAGGGCTGTGCGTGAAGCGGGCGGCGGCGGGAAGCGGGACGGTGGAGATGGAGAGGGGCTGGCAGCGCTCGCTGTGCGCCGGTGGCTCCTTTGTGTGGCCATCTGGAGCGACGGGCGTGCTTGATCCATTATTCACCACGGGCTCCAGTTCCAGGGAAACAGGAGAGCGTGCCGCGGCGAGGGAATCGCTGGGCGCTGCTGCCTCCTCCAGGCTGTGCTGGAAGTCGTGGCCGTTGTGGCCGCAGCTCTTTAGTTTGAGGCTGTTGCTGGAGGTGGACCATCCGAACGTACGTCCACGGGATAACAGAGGGGTTGTGCGGCCCAGCCTGTCCCCCATGGTGGGGATTTGTTTCAGCGGAGTTGACTGCTCCAAAGCCATTAATCTCCCATGCCACCAAACCTGTAAAGGGAGAACACATTTGGGGGGAAATTAAAGGAAGTTCACCTTTAAAAAAAACGTGCACAATATGTACTCACTCTCAGGCCATCCGATATGTAGATGAGTGTGTTTCTTCATCAGATTTGGAGAAATGTAGCATTGCATCACTTGCTCAAGACGTTTTAAATTTCAAACCGTCGCTTCCAGCTAAAATATGCATCCATAATTCATAATAACACTTCCTCCAGTGTAAAAGTCCATCTCCTGTTCTCCTCTCACATTAAAATCCACCTACATGTTTATTTAGAGCTGTTTTGGCTTGTAAACAGTACTTGATCTGTGCAGATTTCTCTCCTGATTCAGACCAGAACACTTTTTCACTGGAGGAAGGAATATTATGAAATATGGACTGGTATTTTAGCAACTGTTTAAAGTTAAAAAGTCTTAATGATGTATTCATGTCTTACAAACGCAGCTTTTGTCTTCACAAGACATTAACTGATGGACTGGAGTGGTGTGGATTACTTGTGGATTATTGTGATGTTTTTATCAGCTGTTTGGACTCTCATTCTGACGGCACCCATTCACATCCATTGGTGAGACACTGATGCAATGCTACATTTCTCCAAATCTGATGAAGAAACAAACTCATCTACATCTCGGATGACCTGAGGGTGAGCACATTTCAGCACATTTTAATTTTTGGATGAACTGTTCCTTTAATTGCTCACACTGGTTTTCACCTTTTAAGATCGTTTACATTCTTGGTGATTTTGTGTATTGGGTTGCGTTTGATTGATTAGTTGTTGGGAAGTCACAGCGCACATTAGCTCATGAGGTGTCATGACATGCTCCAAGTCTGCGGGTTTAAATAAGGAGCAGCTCGCAGCTCAGACAATCTCAGACAGGTTAATATTACATGAGGATGCACTGAAGATCCCCAGACACATCTATAGCCCTCCTCTGACACTCACATGCACCGTGAGATCATGTTTAATAGTACTGAAAACTCACTCACTTATAATCAGAAATGTTTGAGCAGCTAATCAGCATATTAGAATGATTTCTGAAGGATCATGTTCCGCTGAAGACTGGAGTAATGATGCTGAAAATTCAGCTTTGATCACAGAAATAAATTACATTTTAACAGATATTCATATAGAAAACAGTTATTTTAAATTGTAATAATATTTCACAATATTACTGTTTTTACTGTATTTTTGATCAAATAAATGCTAATTTTTTTGCTAAAAATGTCTCTCAGAATAGAACAATCACACTTGTTTTTGCTCAGACATTACTGAGCATGTGCTGAATGAGTTTCATCAGCTTGATTGTGATTTCACTGAGGTCTTCCTCAGACAGTCACTGAGCAGTGAGGAAGAGGAGTAAAATACCCTCATTAATGAGGTCAGATTTTCCCCTCAAGAGAAATCACGAGATCTCCGATCCATCATGAGATGACCAGCGGACGGACACACAAAGCCACTGGAAAAAGCTTTGTGAGTGGAGACAAATCGAAACAGGACCCTGCCATCCTCTCTGCCATGTCTGTCAGTCACAGAGGCAGAAATAGTGTCGGATGACCGCTTTAAGCTGCAGATCACAATGTCAAGACCGTGTCGAGAGGATTTAGTGGACAGAGAAGGGAAACATTCGGTTGTGCATAAAACACAAATGTAGCAAATGAATGAAACCGGTCACTCTTCAAGTTATCAAACCAAAACAACTGGGATTCATAGGTTTCTACAAAAAGTGCCAAATTATTTCTTATAATAACTTATTACAAATTTCTTAATTTATGTCGCCAGATTTTATAAGACTTATGACTGCACACATACTTGCATGAAAAATTCTAAGAAACGCTTGTTCGTTGTTATTTCACGTTGAGCTGTGCGATAACTGTTAACAAGCATGAACTTATTGTAAAATGTTACCAAGTTATCATAAGCTACATTTCTATGCATATTTTGTGCATTCAAAACGTTCAACAGAAAATGTTAAAAAAAACAAAAAAACAATGTTTATTCATGTTCAATTTAAAACAGAAATAGACTATTTTATTTGCGAATAAATGCCTTTGCATCATACAGTTTGATCATAGACACTACACACGCAATTTTAACTGCGAAATGTCAAAAACAGCTTTTTTTCTAATTCATACACACAAACAGGTAAAAATCGTATCATCTGTTATTTAATCTGTTTACAGTATTAAGGAGAGTTATACAAATATGTATTATTATTATTATTATTATTATTATTATTATTATTATATACACTACCGGTCAAAAGTTTGGGATCAGAACGATTTTTAATGTTTTTTAC